GGAACGTTCTCAACTAATATCTTTCGTCCGAGCTGATATTTTATTCCATAAGTAGAACATTGTCAATAGGATACGACTTATGATTATTAGAATCTTCGAAATGTTTTAGCTGAAAATTTTCAAACATTTTAGTGACAATGATGCATATTCATGAGTTGATTCCATGTCGAAATTTTAGTAAAACAGTATATAACTTTGGAATGAAGCTCTACTTACGGAGTTCTACTTTTGGAAAAAGCAGAGACTCGAATAAAATATCTTTCAATACAAAAATAGAATATATACCTTTGTTTTGTTGTCCAAATGTCAGTATAAATAATAGCCGATTGATAACATTGATATTTAGATGCACATTTAGCTAATTGAAAATAATCAATATCTAACCAAAAATGATTTTCAAAATTGAGAAATAAATTTTTTCCAGCATTTCTTTTATTTAAATTTTCAATTGGACATTGTCTTAAAAAATTAATTGTACGAAAGAAAATTTTTGCTATTTGAATATAAGTAAAATTATTTTCAAATTTATTATTAAGTAATTGTTCAAGAAGAAAAGTAAAATTTTCTGTTAATAATTGACGAATATTTAAATTAATTGGAAGTAATAATAAACAATAAATTAAATGTGGAAATAATTTTTTTCCTAAATCAATTTTTAATTGTATTAATTGTTTTAATTGAATAAATATAAATGCACATGGATGTCCAATTTCTTTTTTTTCTATATAATAATATTCAATTTGTTTTAATAAATAATTAATTAATGAAATAAACCATGTATCAAATGAAGTTATTAACCATGGATTGGATAATGAATTTATATTTGTTTGAATTTTTAATGGAAAATTTATTTGAGATAAAAATGGTTTTGAATAAATTTCTATTAAATTATTTTTAATATTTTTTTGATAAAGTTCTTGTCCACTTGAATGATTTAAAATTATTTTTAATGTATAACGTGTACATTCAACAATCGATTGTTCTTTATCAATTAAATAAAACATAATTAAATCATCAATAATCCATAATGGTATTTGTTCATATTGATCATTGTCAAGATTTTCTTGATTATTATTTATTAAAAATAATGAACATTTTGATAAACATTTACCAGCTAAAATATGATTTTGTTTTAATGTTATACAATCAATTAATTGTTGTTTAATAAAAAATATTATTGATGGATCTATATCAAGTGAATACGAAGAAGTTGTTAAACGTTCGTTTTCTAAATGATTATGAAACATTTCTAATATCCATTTCACTGGTAATGATGAACGATGATGAGCAAGATATGAAAAATAATGAGAGATTGTTATCGTTTGATGTTTTTTCTTGATGTCATTTGTTAAATATCCCCTACGAGTTAAAAAGAAAAGACAAAAGAAATATTGAACATGGTCGAAAATATTAAAAAGAAAAATTTAGATAATCAAAACATCGAAAAGACAGATGTTCATAGATTATTTACTCATAGAGTTTATCGGGTACCGTTTAGAAAATTTTTCTATTAGTCGAGTTCGGAAATTCCAGACCCAAAGGATTCTAGTCGCCAGAGAAATGTCTTGAGCACACTAATGTCCATTTCAAAGTTAAATGGTCGTGGGTATTTTTTGAATAACTTTTGATAGGAGCGAGATAGAGATCTGTGGTTTTCACTGTTGGAAAGAGCAGATGAAGACGCATTGAATTATATATAGAAAGCCTTTTCTATAGATTTTACATAAAACTTCAAGAAAAACAGCATGCTTCTCATGGTCACAATATTAATTTGTTGATTTTGAGGAGACAAACCATCGGAACACAATTTACCACTTCATTTTTTTCAATAAAATAATCGAAAAATGTAAATTTTTGTGTATTTTGATAGAGCAGCCACTTTTTAACGTAGGAGAAAAAGCAATTCTTTGAAAACGTTTGACTAAAAGTTTAGAAAAGTCTTTCTATACATAATTCAATGCGTCTTCATCTGCTCTTTCCAACAGTGAAAAAACCGCAGATCCCTATCTCGTTCCTATCAAAAGTTATTCAAAAAAATACCCACGGCCATTTAACTCTGAAATGGACATTAGTTACTGAAGACGAAAACAAAGCATCTCATATCTTTTGAGAATCTATCAGATATAGATTAGAAAATTTTCTTAAGAATATCAAGAATATAGTTCGAAATTAGGTCCATAAAATTGAAGATCTAACATACTCAACATGTCGATGATAGGATCGATTCATCATTCCTTTTCGAATCAATCCGATCATCTCTGCTACTTATTTGAATTACTTCATTAGTATCTGCTTCTTTTCAAGTCAAATTATTTTCTTAAAATCTAATATTTATAATTATTCATTTAATATGTAAATAAAATAGTGCAATAAAATGAGCACAGTAACCTTAGATTTCGAGTCAGATTCGCTGTATTTCATATTCAGGTTAAATAAAAACAAATATTGTTGATGACAGAGATGAGAAGCTAGTTTTTTTTCAATTGCATTTCTATTAAACTATTTAATTTACTTGAATAAATATTAGATTTTCAAAAAATAAAATATATTGAACTGATTTGAATAAATCATCTATGAATATATTTTCTTTTGACAATATCTTTTTTTTTCTTTTCATTATTTTGAAAATATTTAGTTTAAAATTAGAAAGTCTATTTACAATTTGTCAATGGCATAAGACATAAAAATATATATTGAATCATTATTATGTTTAATAACTTGATAGATATGGATTAAAATTATTTGTATACGTTCTTTTGTTAAATGTTGATCATAATTAATTAATGTTGAAACGATATCTGGTATATGATGAATATAAATTAATGAATCAAAATTAAGTCCTTTTATACATAATTGATGAAGAAGTTTACAAATTATATTTAGAATTTTATCATTTAATTCTTGTTGATAAATTTTTAATAGTTTTTTTTGACTATTTTTTTCAATATATCGTAATAAAATATAAGTTGAATCACGTAATATACTATGTAAATAATCATTATCTAGAGAATTTAAGAGTATATCATTTAGAAATAATGAGAATACATTAAGTAGACGGAGTTGTTCATGAATAGAATTTGTTGAAAAAAGATTTGATGATAAATGAAGAAGAATTTCGCAGATGTCCTAGAAAATTCAAAATTATTAAAAGTTTGATCTCACTTTTCCAACCTGTTTAACGCTTTCATTATGGGGCTCGTAAATATATGGGCTGAGTTTTTGCTTAGACTACTTTTGTGACATTTATGATTTACTAGTGTTCTACAACAACATGACTTTTCATTCTCCATTTGCTAATGAGACAAAGTGCTTTCATTAATACAGAACCATGGATTTACTCATGAACAGGCTCTAGCATTTAGTCAAGTCATAAAAGTGGTCACACATTATCAGAATCAGTGCGTCATTGCATAGCACTGCCATGCATGCACATATTCTTTTTTCAAGATTTTTGACAAAACCAAAAACTTTTTTTTGTTGGTAGAAAAGAGCATTGTAAGCAAAAGATTCAATGATTTGTATATTGAAATAAAAATATTTTTTTTTTTTTGAAATATATTATTACTTACTGCTGATTTAATTAAAAGTTCAGAAAATGTTTTTGTATTCATTATTTGTTTAATATAATCAAATGTATTTCTTAATATTGACCAAGTATAAGCAGGTAATATTGGTTCTGGTAACCATTTATCATAAAATTCATTTTCTTCATTATTCAAATAAGTTAATAAAAGATGTAATATAATCATTGTTAATTTTTGTTTCATTAAACGATTATATTCATTTTTTGTAATAATTTTTTCAATTAATTGTCGATGTTCTTCTGCTTGTTTATAATCATCAATTTTATTAGCTAATAATGGTAATATATATGCTTGTAATTGTGGAAAATAATCAATTAATGAAGATTTTATATTATGAAATATTGAATCAAGTTGTTGACGATGTGTTAATGATGAAAGAAAATATGTTGAAAATAAATATGAATGATATTGTTCAATAGAATTACTATTAAAATATTCCCATGGAAAATCTTTTAGTTTATATAATGATTGTTTATGCCAATATTGTATAATTAATTCAATAGGAATATTTTGAAGTATATGTTTAATAATATGTTTTGATAATTGATTTTTTAAAACAAATTCAATTAAATGAAAACTTATTTGACGTAATAAATATTCACTTATATTTGATAAATAATAAAGAAGTAATATTGATGATGAATTTTTTTCTATTAAATATTGATAAATTTGTTTTTGTTCATTAGATGATTTTAAACGATATTGATTATTATATAAAAAATTATTTGATGATATTTCTCTTTGACCAAGAAATATTCCTAAACTTGATCGATCATCAATATTTTCATTGTAATTTTGTGAATTAATATTTATTAATTGATTTAAATTATTTTCATAAAATAAATTTAAACAAAGTTTATTTGCTTCTAAACGTATAAAATATGATGAATCATTTAAAATTATTTGTATATCATCATATGTTATTTGTTCATCATTCATAAAAATTTGTTTTATTTTTATTATGAATTTTCTTATATGATTATTTACTAAAATATTTTTATTTATTGTCATTTGCCAAAAAGCATCAATAATTTTTTTCATATGTAACCAATTTTCATTTGTTAATAATTTTTCTCGTATTTTTTTATAAAATATTTTCATAAATAAATAAAATAAATAAATAAATCTTTGACATAATAATATATCACGACGATAAATACGAAATGATTGAGAAAATAAATTTATTATATATTCAAAATCATTTTGACGAATATTTAAATAATATTGAAATTTATTTAAACATATATGACATAAAAATTTATTTATATATTGATATGATATTGGATCTGGTAAAGAAAGTTCTTCTAAATATAAATAAATTTTTTCTTCAAGAATACGTATTAATATATTTATATTTGATTCATAATTTAAACAATATTTTAATAAAAATGAATTCGAAATATATTGTTCATCATATAATGCTTGAAAACAAAGAAGAAGAATTATTTCAAATGCTTGTATTAATGATAATTTATCATCAGATAGATTATCTATTGGACATTGAATACCTTCAATATCAGTTGATTTCTTTTTTGATATTTCTTGTATTGAAAAATTATATAAATATGAAAGAAATTTAGCATCAAGAAATCCATAAAGAATAGATGGAATTTTATTTAATGAAGGTAAAATAGGTTGAAGTAAAGATGAAGTAGATGTTAAATAAATAGAATTTTGAATATGTTCAAGTAAATCATTAACAAATGGAATTTCTTGATTTTTTGTATATAAAAAATTTGTTTCATCAGTTAATTCATTGAATATAATTTGTATTGTTTCAATAAATCTTATTATTTCTTTATTATTATGTATTGTTTTAGTAAAATATATTTGAAGTATATGAAGCATATAAATACCAAGAAATGAAAAATGAAGAATTAATTTATAACGTTCGCCCTATAAATACATAGATCACTTTAAGTAAAATCTTTTCAATGTTAAGAATTTTATGAAATTTTAACAGAGACCTTAATTGATTTCTATTTGTGAAATAACAATGAAACAGGTGTGCGAAATAGATACGTCCTCATGTAAGTTGAACTGAACAAAACCTTCCGGTAAATCATTCAGTATCATATGTATTATATCAGCCGTTAATTGACAAAAGTTTGATAGTTGAATAGTTCACTATTCTCTGGCAAGACGTACGGAATCTAACTGTGTATGTCAATATGCGTTAATATAAACCGTTCAAATTTGAGAAATTTTTTTTTTTCATTCCAAAGTTCAAATAAAGATATTTTTATATTGTAATAATAAGAAAACCAAGTTTCGTAAACAGCTTCTTCTTTTATATTTAACTATACAATCGATTATTAGTTACCGGTTAATCTCACCTTTTGTCTGATAATAACTACTTATGAAATTCAAAAACAGTACGAAAGAGTTTGAATTTTTGACTTTTTTGATTCGAGATGAAGTTTTTTTGTAGAAATATTATGAGGAACCCATCATTAAGATCTATTGATTTCGGACTATTTTATCTGTTTCGTAATCTTACAAAAATACCTGATCAAATTTTAAATATAAAGTCAATTAATGTTCGACTTTATCGCTGTAATTCTATAAAATTATGCAGAGAATTCGAATATCATGAGAAAAAATTGAACATCTCGACTTTTACTTCCAGTTCAGAAGTACTTCAGTTTTTCAAATATAAAATTGTCAATTTCTCGTTTAATCAAACATATGAGCTCATTAAATATGTCCTTCTGTATCTTTCGACAGAGAAATAATCTTTCTTGATTGAATCTGAATTCATCTATCTTATCATTAAATAAAGCTGTGTCAAGAGAAGTGAAAACAGGTGTTGTTCATTTGAGAATTTTTCATATTTTGTTTTTCTTATGTTGAGTATAGAGAAGAAAATATGAAGTGTAAAGTTCAAATACTGCAACGTAAAAAACCTTAATAGTAATTAATTAATTCTTACTAAATGTTTATCTTTTAATTGTTGAATAAATCGAACATTTTTTTCATAGATTTCTATAATACGTTTAAAGATATCTAAATTTAATTCACATGTATTGATTTTTGAATAAAAATCTAATTGAATTTCTTCTTGTTCTTGTTCTTCTTCTTTTTCATGAATAGGAATAAGTAATTTTAATCGAGACCATTCAAATTCAATTTGATCAAATTCATTTTTATTTAATTTTTTCTTATTTTTAAATAATTGATTTGGTATTATATCAAATGAACTAAATTGCATAAGAATTAATGCGCATATATGTGTATATTCAGGTGAATAAGATGAAAAAAATATTGATAAATCATGTTCATTATTACGATATAAAGATATTAAATCAGGTAGCAATTTATTAATCAATTTATTTTCATCATCTAATGAATATTGATTATTTGGATAAAGTGTTAAATAATGAAATATATATTTAAGTGAAGTTATTGATGAACATGAATATAAATGTGAAAGAGATAAATTTTTATTTGACAGAATTTCTATTACATATGATTCACATATTGGAATATGAATTAATGGTTGAATTAATATAATTAAATCAGATGTTAATTGACAATGTGATGTATGAGTCAAAAGAAGATAAAGACAACGAAGAGCATTCACTAAAAGTGATGGCCTAAAACAAAAGTTTATGTATTAGAAGTTATTTTCTTTGTTGTTGATTGCAAAAGACTTTTAACCTAGGATAAAAAAACAAGGACATGTTGACTAACTTTAAAGACAGTCAAAGTTTCGAAGAATAAAACTTGATAATCACTTATTACTTGTCAAACAGATGCAGAACACTCAATAATCTAGTCTATCTCCAGTTGAACATTCTGGATTACAATTATCGATATAGAGACAGAAAGAAATCCATTGTAATCCTGCCCTCTCATAACAGACGACTTGCCACTAAGCCGTTCTTCTGCGGAGCCTGTTCTAATCGTATTCAATTTCACTTTCTGCCAAAGAAAGGTAAATGGTATTGAAAAAACCTGGTTTTTATCCAAATTTACGACGAAATCGCAAAATATTGGCAAAAAGTTTCAGTTCTTTTCAAACTGGTAGTTTTCAAGATTCAAATTACGATGATTAATTGGTTTTGTGATTGAGTTTCATAGGAAGTCTCGATTATTAAAATTTTGAAGCTTCTATGATGATTTACTGCATAGAGAATAAAACTAGCATATATTAGTAAGTGTGCGTCAAGTACATTCTTATGTTTTCCGCATAGATTTCTTTGTACTACCTCATGCAAAACAAAAAATGGTTTTCTAGATCAAAGATCATTCTGTGCTTATCTCGAAGTGAATATCCATTTTGTTATTCATGCATCTTAACTTTCTCAGCTATTTTACCTGCTATAAAGCTTGAAAAAGTTTGAAATTTAAGAGAAAATTACATTCTACATTTTGACAGGGTTTGATTTTTTGGAAAAAAAACCAATCGCTTTTCATCGGAATACCTATAATTTTCTGAAAGTTCTTAGAAAAATTGACGTTGAAATTGAACGATATCAATGTTTTAAAGTTCAACTACATTAAATGTTCTGGACAAGTATTGACTATATATCAAATCTAACGCTAAATCTCTATCATTGGAATATGAGGCAAAGTCTAGTATACTCGAAAACCTACATTTGATCCTTTTTATTGAAACAATTCTTGAGAAACTCAACATTCTAAACTATGATTATAAACATAATCTTTCTGAGTTCGTAAATATACACTTTAAAATTCCAGGTAACTCAATTTTTCTGCCAAAAAAACAAGGGTCTCATAGACTGCACCTTTTGATAACCTCCGTTTTCATTTTGCTATACGATTGTTTTTTATTCTCTTTATAAGTCAAATGAAACTTACATTGTATTCAGTGAAGCAACCTGAAATCTTTTTAGAAAAATTATTTACCTTCGTTCATCGATTAAAAATCGTTTAATTACATTCATATAATAATCACAATCTGTTGAAGATAATATCATATTTCGTTCAAGTTGTAACGAAACTATTTGAAAACTAATTAAAATAAAATTGTTATAAATATAATAATTTCATACAAAACATAAATCTTTTATATTTTACCCAACAGCTTGATGATAAGAATCAATTGATTGAAATAAATTTTGAAAAGATTTCATTTGTAAATCTATATTTGTTGATATTGACATTGAATGTTCATAACGTGCTCGTTTTGAACTAGGTTCAATTAAATCATCATCATTGTCATTATTATTATTAGTATCCATTAATTCAGTTTTAATTAAAACTTTATTTAAAGAAAGCTTTAAAAAATATTTATTTATTTTTTTTTTACAAAGAAAAAATTTTCTAAAATTCTACCTGATAAAATACACTACTTGCTAAATGAAGTAAATCAGAACGAATTATAAATTCATTTTGATTTTGTCGATTATTTGAACGTTGTTTATGACAAATTTCATCAATATCTCTCAATAATAAATCATTTATATCTCGAAGATTTTTCTAATTTAAAAAAAAAAAAAGAAATATTTCAATTCTTTACAATAAAATTTACCATCCAAATCTCATCACATATTTCTAAAATACTTTTTCTATGATAAGGATGATGAAGACTTATTTGTAAACGAATAAATTTAATAATTTCTGTCTAAAAAAAAATTAAAAAATTAATCAATAAATCATTGTTTATTTTTTAGAATTTTACTTTTGGCTTATCACTACATTTTCGTCTCCAAATATCAATTAATGATGGTAAAAGTTCATTAGCCAAATGATAAACTTCATCAGGCATATCAAATAAATATTTAAATGACCAAGAATTAAGTGAACAAAGTAAATTTTCAATAACAGAAAAATGATTAGAATTTCTAAATATCAAAAAAAAAATAAAAAGTTTCAAATAAACTTTTATTCTTCATTCAATACAAACTTTAATTGTTCAATTTCAATATGAAAAAAATAAAATAAATCTTTTCGAATAGTTGATTTATTTAAATCTAAATCATTATAAATAACTAATTTTTCTATTATAAATTTTAAATATGAACTATAAAGTGCTTGATCACTTTCATAAAATGATTTATTTTGATTTTTTGATAATGACATATATAATGTACATAAATCTAATTAAAAAGAAAACAAAATATTAATATTATGATACATAAGTCATTTTCTTTTACCAATCCATTCTTGTTCACGTAATTCATTAATATATTTATGATAACAAAGAACATTATTAATTAATAAATGACTTAGTTCTTTGATGATAATTGCACATGATAACCAAACTTCACTAGTTATTATTGAAATAATTGATTCAATAAGAGAACGAGCATCAAGTTCAGGAGCACCTTAAAGAATCAATTTTTTTTTTCTTTTTGGTTTAGGTATTTTTCATAGGAAGATTTCAATATACATACGTGCATTAGCATTTTCTATCAGAGCTTTAAATAATTTAATTGCTTCTTGATATTTGACATCCGATGATAAAATTTTTGTTGATTTTGTTCGAATATTGGCTAATTCATTAATTGTATATTCTCGAATAGTCTAAAATTTTTGAGATAAAATAATAAAGAGTAGGAGAAATAAAAAAAACAATTCAACAAACAGTAAATATTTCATTCCATGTTATTGAACGTTTTGTGGTATTTTCCTCTTGATGTTCATTATCAAGTAAATCATGTATTCGATTATCTTTAAGTAATTCAATAAATGTTTCTACATTTCTCTGAAATTTAAAATTGGAAATAGATTTTTTTTTCCAATAGATTCTTCTACCTTTCGTTCAGTAATTGTATTTGATGAGACAAGAACGTGTAGACATTTACGAAGAGCTAACTCTATCGCGTCCATACTTGTCTGAAAGATTTCAAATAAAAATAAGTAGTGATTTTAGATAATTGTGGAAAATACAATAAAGAAAAAGGGAATTTCTTGATAGATGTGCAATAACATTCATATACACGTGCGTCAATTATTGACAGTGAAATGACTCATCAGACAAATCAGACTATTTGGTTAAAACGAGCCATTCATAAAAGAGGTAAATTTATTGAAATAGACAGACAAAAAAGATTGAATAACAAAAGAATTTATGTACATGGTACTCCTTATTCATTTTAGTTTCCATCGTTTACAGTAATTTTCAGTCACTATGGCTACAACTCGAGTTAACAGGTGAAAAACAAAAGATTTGATATTAAAAAATATGAACCATTATGCAAGGTAATATTAATGATTTTTGCAGATTTTCACTATCTGTATACAAATCTCTAATGAAACGAGATCTGATAGTGAATAATTCACATAAAAATGTTCTTCATTTACATGTTCAATTGATTCTAAGAAGAATATTAACATAGCAATTGAAAATGGATAACATCAAGCTCTATTACGACAATCAGACAGTCCTGCATTGTAATTCAACATAATCCTTCATTTGAAATTTGTAACTTAGTTTTTTTTTTCTCAATTTGTTATATTCGTTGCTTCTATACAAGAGCAAAACGTGACGATCAAACGAAGATTTCAACACCTATGAATACATTTACTTGTTCTATCTTTCCGATATGTTTACAAACACTGCACAAATCAAAGAAATTAAGAGGAAATTTAGAAAATTTTTTTAATAATATGTTTTGTTTCGAAAGAAACAACGTTGACAAAAGATTTCGACATCGAATGGAATTGATGAAGTTGATAGAATAATCCGTAATAAAAATTCTGACGTTCTGATGATGCTTCTCAAGTTGGTTATATATTATTTAGTTTTAGATATCAACAGAAATAAATGTTAGGATGTCATCATTTAAACTAATTCAATATTTAAATTAAAAGATGACGTAAACTAACGTGTATGTATACTCTAGAAAAGTATGTTTTGATTGTTGTCTATCGAGCAAATTGTAGTTATACGTACGAGTACGCTTCTCTTTGTACTCTTCAGTCATATTTGACTATAACTAAATAAATTAGTCACACCATTGAACATACAATTATTGTTTTTTATTTTCATTGTTGAAAACATTGTATTCTTATAGAAACAAAAAAAAGATTAAAGAAAAATTCACATGGATAATAAAATTGATTTTTTTGGTGTTGATGGAAAACGCAATAAATATAATGTTGAATTATTATCAATATCATTAGTTCACAATGAGCCGATATTAAATTAATTCATAGTTTATTCATTTACATTCGGTATAGATGACGAAGAATTTCGCCCTCGTGGTAAAGATATGATTCATTATATTGCTGACTATTTAATTAATATTAGGTTAGAAAATTATCAAAGTAAATTTCTTTATTATTTTTATATTGATTAAAATCATAGTGAATGTCATGCGGCAGCAGAAATAGACTCAGGTTATTTACGATTAATGTTACCATGAAATGCATCTGAAAAAAGTAAATTATGGGATGATATTATGAAAGATGTTGAACAAATCATGATGTCTGATATAACACATTGTCAGCATCCACATTTTCGTACTTATTTTCCACTCAGGTCGATCATTTAGATCTTTTGCTACAGCATAATTGTTGTCCTAAAAAATGAAAAATGATCACTTTTTCTGAGAAGTCCTTTACCAGCTCGAATTACGAATCACTTTTCATCCGAATGTAAATGGTGCCGTTGAGGGTTGTTTCCCTCAAAATTCCATGCACAGTATTAGAACCATATTCTGATGGTATACTGTCATCGTTACACCATTTTTTGTCGTATACGACTCATTTTCACGACTTGAATGATACTCTACTTAGCTTTTGACATACACTTGCTATTATTATACGAAGTATTTCATGGCAATAAATAGAATTTCTGCATACAGATTTATTATCACAAGGTATAACCAAAGTAAACATACGAAAAAGCGATGCACACAGACGCAATTATCATTTATCATATGCGTAAAAATACCCTTAAGCGTCTTTTAGATGAAGTTGTTCACTGATAAAAAAATCTATTATTTCAAAGATTTCTTTTAAGAAGTGATTCACTACAGTTGTTGTTTTATGTTTACGAGCTGTTTCTTTCGATATACGATGAATAGCATGAATGAAGGTTGGATAAACTTCTTATGAGGCATCTAGAAGACAAAAAAAATGGGTTCTGCTTCATGTGTGGGACTCATCTATGAAAATAAATGACGAACGAAGAATATGCGAAGATGCGTACATTTATTTGATAATTCAATATTAATATCATGTCAATCATCGTATGACAAGATATAGAGATGTTTTTGTACAGGGGCACGTCAAGCTGTCAAATAGATCTCAACCAAATTCATCCATCAATGCTTAAATTAACTCAAAAAAGTTAATTAGGACATCATATTAACAAAAACAACACAGAATTTAAGAAGATAAAGCGTAACATGCAGTTCATTCTTAGCAAAAAAACTTCCATTAAACATTAGAAATCGGTTCAAGCAGAAATGGTAGATAAGATCATTAAGATTTATCTACCAAATATGATCAGACAATATCTCATGATGTTTATAAGATATTTATTTTTGATTCTATGTAAAAATGACTTGAAAAGGAAGATTACATGTATTTGTTGTTGATATGAAGGAAAAGCAAGAAGCACTCACATAACGTGTTGCAATTTTCTATAATGATATTGGTTGTTATAGCTTGAAAACTAATAGAAACTTAATTTAAAAAAAAAAGATTATTGTATATAGAGTCATCCAAAAATATTTACAATGGAAAAGAGAAGATTTATTAAGGTCTAATCGTCCACAAAAATAGAGTGGAAAATAAATGACATGGAAAGCACTGATGTATGTGAAAGACCATGGGAAGCGTCCATCAATGAAATAGACCTTTTATATCATCGAGTTTTGCAATATTAGTTTATTGAAATGAATAATGAACAATATCACAGCGTCGGTGGAGTCAATACACCAAGAAATTTATTGAATTCTATGTATGACCCTCTACTAAGTCACCTAGTATGATATGTGAACAATATCAAATATTTGAAACGAAACCTCTAGTTTATTCAGCAGTATTTGTTGCTAGGTTGTTCGGAATTATCTGCACATAAAACCAAGAATACTATCAATGATGATGTTAACATAAAGCAATCTATAGAATGTCAAACAGTTCTTTTGATCAAACAAACATTTGTTAAGAAAAGTTATATTTTGACTAAATCAACTTAATATCGTTATGCATCACAAGCTGTACGGACATTATTAGAACAATAGTTTTTGTAGCAAGAAAAATGTATTCTGCTAATGTACTGTCAATGAAACTAATTGAGAATGGAAAGGATTTGCTGAAACTAATGATGTATGCACACAATTAAAAGGCTAAAAATAGTAACATCAACTTGCTTGTTGAATAGGAAAAACATTAAAAAACTTGATAAAAAAAATATTGTGAAACATGATGTTACGCCCTCGAAATAAGCCTCAAAAGTTAGCGCGTAAGTCTTTCTTCAACATGTCATGAAATATTTTTCTGCCCTCCAAACAATGTTCGTTCAAATGGAAAATAGGTCAAAATTAAACAATATTTTCGTGTGCAGTAATAGCATATATAATAATGATCAAAAAATGTTTGACCCACCCGTTATATTTAGCATTAACTTATTTCTTTCAATTAAAAGTTTTGATAACCTAAGTTATGTTGAAGAAGGTCATCGTTATTATATACGAGAAGCATGCAAATTAATTAGTTATTAAAATTTGTTCAACGATTGTATTGTTAGCATTGTCGTTTGGCAAAAGTATTTCCAGGATTCTTAAAAGCAGATGATCTCTTTAAAATAACCAGAGATGTTATATTTGTATTTGCTTGTTTGCATTTGAAAGCATAGCAGTGTTTTCGATTACGAAAAAAACAAGCGTATGAATGGAAATAATTTATTTAAGAAAAAAAAAAAAATAATAACAATCTATCAGATGACGTCTTTTTGAGTGACAAATGAGGATAGAAAAGTCTAAAGGTTGACTGCGTCAACGTATTGAAAATTGGATGATGATAACATTACATATCTGCATTATAATGGTATGTCAAAGTCCAATATACACATGAAAAAAATTTCTCTTTATAACAACAAGAATAATTTAGCTAATTTAATGCAGCAAAAGTTTTTTTTTTATTCAGCTAAATCATGAAAAACAACCTTGTCCTCTACGGCAGGATTTTTATCATTGATATAGTCAGGTATGTCAATTAGATTAATCGATCCATAATTTGGTTCACATCCTATATGTCCTAAGCTGTGCATTGTTGGTGACGGTGTCATGCATAAACCATTTGTTGGAGTTGCACAAGGTGTTCTGTAATAATCATGATAATCTGGTTGTTGAATTTGTAAATATTTTGCCTTAATTGTAGTTTTGTTCATCATAAGTTGAATTTTATGATGACCAATAGTCGGCGGCATATTAACACATGATGAACGAAAACGTTTTTTATCTTGATATTCAACAAGTACTTGACGTAATTGTTGCGGTGCTGATGTTAAACGTTGTTTAAAAGCATTCATTACATCAGTCTGTAGCATGGTTGTTAAACTTGATCTTCCTTGAAAACGTATTGTTTTAGTTAGTGCATGACGAAATTCTGTACCAGACAAACAATAAATAAGAATACTTGCATAATTAAAATACATTAAAATATTATAGATAGTCCATTGTATACGTCGACAACGCATTAAATCAATCGATGCTTTGTGTGATAATAAATCAATTATAAATGCAGTTACTGGTAAAGTTGTTGCAACAAATACAAATGATGAACATATCATAATTAAACATAATGAACGTAAACGATTTGTTGCTTTGGAACGACTAACGAAATCACTTTTTTTACCTGGGCTAGGTACAAGAAATACACGATTAATAACAGTTAAATTACATAAAATAATAAATATAAAAGGGATTATTGTTACAAGAAACATATCAATCCACGTATAGATGTGTTCAAAAAAGTGTACATAACTTGGATGTAAATAACATTGTTGATATTGGAATGGATTAACAGTAGAGCGTGTAGAATTGAGACCATGTAAACTCTTAGGATGATCATCACCTTGAACAAATATTAATAAATGTATATTAGATAAAGATACAATAGTAAAAATGATGCTTGAATTAATCGATGCTTGTCGTGTTCGACACCATTTTGATGTATATATTGGGAACTTGACAGCAACATAACGATCTAAATTTAAACAACACCGAAACCAAGATGAGAGATGCAGCGTATTACTAGAAGAACAATTTTAATAATGAGTTATTATTTGTCTTTGTATAGAAAAAAAGAATAATGAACTTACTAGAAGAAAAAAACATGTAGTTTACATAATAATGTACCTTGTATATGAATATGAAGACTTGATGATAAAAGTAATTCACGTAATAAACCAAGATTTAGAACAATAGTGTCAGCAATAGCCATAAATGTTAAATAACGATAAACACTGTGTTGTCTCATGCGTATTAAAACAATGATTGTTAAAACATTGCCAACTGTTCCCAAACTAAGTAAGTATGGATAACTATGCCATTCAATTTGACGTGCAATTTCACCTTTTAGTGAACAATTCATTGTCATTGTTTGCTAACAATCATTTAACTAATAATACATTAACTGATTGTAATCAGTTCTATAGGAGAACAAAAAAAAAACAAAAGAATAGTGATGAAAAAACAACATATATTCGGTTCGATTAAGACTCTTGTCAGGTAGGTCCCTTATTTTACTCTGTCACGCAAACAATCTGATTATTAAATAAACGAAGAAGAAATATTTCTTCGGTTGAAACGACATACTATATGTTAGTCTGTTTTATAGGCATCATCAAAATATGGAATTGTATTACACACTTCGTTAAAAGAAAAAAAAACACACACACACGGACAAAAATCTAATGTAATTATGAATAAAAACTATGAAGTATATACAATTCATAAGAACAATGAGAATGCTAGCAAACTTTCATCTCTTTATAATGTTATGTTGTTCATCAATTACCAATAATCAAATAGAAGAACTCTAGATGCACAACAAAATGAATCAATGACTTATTATGAACTATATGTGGAGGGTTTACGATTGTATATAGAAAAGAAAGACTTAACAGATTTTTTCATACCCTCTTCAAATATAACCATAAACATTATCGTTGTACAAATCACAAATTTTCTTAAGTATAATCTCGTTATCAGAAAAAAAGGAAAAAAATGTGGACGTAAAAGACCAAAAATAAGAGAAAAAAAAGTTGTCATTTATGACAATACATTTTTAGCTGGTAGAAATGTTTTTGAAAAAATAGAAAAAACATTAGAATTTCAAGGGAACATTTTTTATCTGCTTACATTGGAAAAATGTATAGACAATGAAAAAAAAAATATATTTAACAGGTAACTATTTGTTTGTCGGATCACTTTGTCCGGAAGTAAGAAAAGAAAGAAACAGTATTTACTCATTATTTTTACATACATCGTCACTGATTCAAAAGTGACTTTGAGTAACATGAAAATAAAAAAAACATTCGCTATATTCGTTCTTCAATTTCCTATTTGAGCTTTAAAAATCATTAAAGTCTCTAATACACACATCGCGCATGTTAAAGAGAAAATAAAAGCGGAAAATTACTGTTCAGTGTTGTATAAAATATATGGCATGCCATATGATTTCTTGATGGACACATCATTTTATATGCTATTGTTCTCCATAGTCACCATGATTCTCATATTAGTCTACTAAAAAATATCAGCCTACAGATGATTCAGATAAAACGAGACAAAACTATTTTCTTTTTTTTGAAATACTTCGATATACTTTCAGAACATAAATCTACAGTCATTTGATAGAGGATTTTTGATTCTACAGAACTGTTGCGTTTTTTTTTTTTGGAAAAAAGTTTTCTTTTTTGCTCATCAAGAATAATCCAAAACATATCTCGGTTATCGTCAATCAATAGAATATTTTGTGCTTTCTGCTTCGACGATCATTTGAAGATTCCTAGTACTATTGCTCATGAGTAAAAAGGATTAGAATGAATTCTTAGTGTTATTTTTGTAAAGATTTTGGAAAAACGTGGTTGTCAAAGCGAAATTTGATGTATGAAGTAGTTGTTCTTGTCCTATGCGATGTAGAATTTAATTCTGAAAAAAAAATGATGTGACTGTTAAATTGAAGGGTTGAAACGATTAGATTATGCTGAATTTAAAAAGAACGATCACATAATTTTGTCATAACGGATTTTTTCTGAGATTTTCCTATTTTTCACTTCAAAATTTTTCTTGTAAATATTTTTTCTGACACTCTGATACACATATCAAAAGAGGCTGATTGTTATGGAGATTTGTTGATATGTTTGAAATTTCAGCAAACCGCTGTTAAAATAATTTGCATAATTTTTCTGCTTTGTTGATCGGTACAGTTCAATGATTCAGTCAGTGTAAGTACTTTCAATTTCGCTGTAACAACAAAAACTTAATTGAAAACAGAACGCAACAATTTTGCACAACAAAACTATGTCTCAAATGACTACAGCATGATTTTTCAAGAGAAGATCTAAGTGACCTAAAATAACAAAAGGAAATTATTTTTTTTGTCTCATTTAATCTGCAGCACCCGTTATATTACATCTATATTTTCGTTTTCGTTAAGAATATTTTCTTGGTCTTTTTGACTCGTTGTCTTATTGTTAGAAGATACAATGTTGTTGTTTTGGTTTATGTATTATGTGTACAGAGGCATATCTTTTTCTTTGCTGTCATTCAATGGTGTGTCAATCGTCCATCAATGTATAAACTATGGTTCTTTTTCTTGGCAAAATACGCCAGAGATGGGATGAGACTGGTATTTTGATGACCGATAATGGTTTCGCTCTAAGTAGGTAAGACCGAGGCTGGTCGACCTTATTTGCCGGAAACCGAACAATCTAGAAAAGTCTATCAACGCAAGAGTTGTTAATTGTCGTTATTGATTCCATTGCTAATAATAGTGTTATTTGAAATATTCAATTCTCAACGAAGTTTTATTACATATTCTGTATGAGTTATTATTAATACTAATCGAAGTTTTGAATATGTTTATATAATATCAGCAAAAAAATTAATACGATAGATCAGTAATGAGTAGTTTATCAATGGCCGATCAGTAAATTGATGATCTGCCTTTCTTATATTAATAACTGATTCACTAAAAGACGAACCAATCTGAAATCTGTATTGATATTCAACTGTCACTAACCGATATGGCTTATTTTTCTGCAACATATCACGATATATGCATGTTGACTTATCATCTGGGATCAAGAAGAGAAAAGAACAAAAGAACAAGAGAGAGAAAAAGAAACAGAAAGAAAAATTTTGAGGACATTGTGAGAACATAGCCGGTATGTGAAAAGAAACCGCTGGGTTAAATCAAACTTCTCTAACGGAAAATACTCATGTTCCGAATCAGACAATAACAATATCATATTTTAAATGACACGGCAATCAATCTTTCTTTGTTTGTTTTTCTCCATTAATAACATAACATTACAGCGTACCCGCACAATGATATTTCCGAAATGATGCATGTAAACATGTATCAATTGGTCTGTGTTCGTTGTCATAGCAGTTCGGTCATCAGTCTTTTTCTGATTGCACTTTGGTAGCTTTCTTGATTCTTGTGTATTTTCTAACAACACCTGCTATGAATAATGAAGAATTTCGTCGTCGTGGGTAAAGACATGATTCATTATATCCCTGACTATTTAATTAATATTAAGTTAGAAAATTATCAAAATGAATTTTTTTATTATTTTTATATTAATTAAAATCATAGTGAACGTTGTGTAACACTAGAAGAAGAACCAGGTTATTTACGATCAATGTTACCATGAAATGCACCGGACAAAGTGAATCATGGGATGATATTATGAAAGATGTTGAACAAACAATAATGCCTGGTATAACACATTGACAACATCCACGTTTTCATGCTTATTTTCCAGCTGGAAATAGTTATCCATCAATTCTTGCTGAAATACTTTCAGCAGGTCTTGGAATTGTCGGATTTTCATGGACAGCATGTCCAGCATGCACTGAACTTGAACCAATTATGCTTGATTAGCTTGGTCGTATGATGTCTTTACCAATATCATTTCTTCCGCTTAATTCAAATAATGATAATGAAACTGAAACTCTCAATATTGAAATTGAATGTGAAACAGTACATGGTGGTGATGGTGTTCTTCTTGTATGTTATTTTTCACTCATTAAATTGATATTTTATTTTTTAACTTTTGTCTATTTAGGGTTCAGCAAATGAATGTATTTTAGTAGCTATGTTAGCAGTAAGAACTAAAAAAAATTAAAAGTAAACGATTAGAAAATTCTTCAATAGAAAATGGACAAATATTATCAAAACTTGTATGTTATTCGTCAAAGCTTGTACGTGTGTATTTTTCAATGGAAATTTACAGGCTTTTGTTTTTGTTTTTTCTTTTTACATTACGTTCATTCCTCTGTAGAAAAAGCTGGTTTTATTACAATGGTCAATGTTCGTCAATTAGTTGTTGATGAAAATTATTCATTACGTGGAAAAATACTTGATGAATATATCCAAGTTGATAAAGAAAAAGGTTTAATTTCATTTTTTATTCGTAATTTTTTTGTCTATGTTATTAAATTTCCAGATTTTAGGTTTTTGTTTTTTTATTCAAATAGATATGTGGTACATTAGGTACAACATCATGTTGTTCAGTTGATAATTTTGAAAAACTTGAACAGATTTGTCAATGTGAAAAACTTTGGTTTCATATCGATGCAGCTTATGCTGGTGCTGCACTTATTTGTGAAGAATTTCATTATTTATTAAAAGGATTGCAAGTAAATCAATTTTTTTATTTTTTCTTATGAATTATTAAGTATTTGTTAATTGAGTATGTCAATTCATTTAATACAAATCCAAATAAATGGCTTTTAATGAATTTTGATTGTTTCTGTTTTTTGGTAAGATTTTTTTTTCTTGTCAATTAGTTTGTTTATTTTTATTTTCTAATACCAGGATTCGTGATAAATTGGCAGTGATTAATGCTATGTCAGTCGATCCACTGTATCTTCAACATAAACATGTCGAAAAAGCAACAGATTTACGTGTAAATATTTACAAACATACAGATTATATTTTGATTATGAAAAATCTATTTAGCATTGGAGTATTGCATTAAGTCGAGGATTTCGATCACTTAAATTATGGTTTACTATTCGAAATTATGTTAAAGACGGTCTTCGTCATTATATACGAGAAGTATTTAGATTAATCATTTAGTAATATTAATCCTATGCTTGTATTTTTAGCATTGTCGTTTGTCAAAAATATTTGCTAAATCATTAAAAACAGATGATCGATTTGAAATAATTGTAAATGTTGTATTTGGACTTGGTTGTTTTCATTTAAAAGTATGTGAGTTTTTCTTGTCTTATGAAAAAAAAATTAATAATTCTATTAATGAAGATGTTTTCTTTTAGGGAGACAATATATTGACTGAAAAATTATTATCAAGTTTAAATGATTCAGGTCAAATCCATGTTGTACCATCAATGCTCAATGAAGTATTTATAATTCGTATTGTTGTTTGTGCTAAAGATGCTTTGGAATATGATATGCACATTGCATTTCAAATAATTCAAACATGTGCAGATGGAATTATGATTGAAGACAACAAGGATTTATCATCAACACCGATAAAACAATGTTGAATTTTTAGTTTTATATCTTTTTTTTTTATTATTCTTTATAACACAGATATTTCGAACCAAAATAATCTATCTCGTAATTAGCTTTGTCTTATCTTTATATCAAATTAATTTCTTTCTTATCTGATTAATTGATGATTATTTCTAAATAAAAATTTCGTTTCTTATAAAGAAACAAAGAATGTTGATATATTTACATTATCTTGTTTGTGTTAAGAAAATTGAGAGTATATAATAATAATCTAAGAGATGACGTTGTTTTGAGTGACAAATGAGAATAACGAAGTCTGAAGATTGACTGTGTCAACGCATTGAAGATTTGATGATGATAACACTAAATGCCTGCATACTAATGAGATGTCAAAGTCAAGTATACATATGAAAAAAAAGTTCTATTTGTAAAAAAAAACAACAAAAACAAGAATAATTTAACCATTATAATAAAGCATAAGTTTTTTTTTATTGACTTATATCTTGAAAACTAACTTTGCTGCGTACAGAACTTTTATCATCAGTATGATCAGAAATGTCATTTTGATTATTTAGTACAAAGCTTGGTCCGCCTCCTGTATGTCGAAAACTTTGAATTGTTGATGAGCTTGTAACGCCTAAGCCATTTGTTTGACTTGTACAAGAATTTCTGTAACGACCATGATATTGTGGTTGTTGAATTTGTAAATATTTTGCATGAACTGGTGTTGTTTTCATTGCATGTTGATTTTTCTTATGACTAAGCGCTGGTGACACACTAACAGATGATGAACGAAAACGTTTTTGATCTTGATATTCAACAAATACTTGACGTAATTGTTGCGGTGTTGATGTTAAACGTTGATTAACAGCATTCATTACATCGGTCTGTAACATGGTTGCTAAACTTGGTTTCCCTTGAAGACGTATTGTTTTAATAAGTGTATGACGAAATTCTGTACCGGATAAACAATAACTAAGAATACTTGCATAATTAAAATACATTAAAATATTATAGATAGTCCATTGTATACGTCGACAACGCATTAAATCAATCGATGCTTTGTGTGATAATAAATCAATTATAAATGCAGTTACTGGTAAAGTTGTTGCAACAAATACAAATGATGAACATATCATAATTAAACATAATGAACGTAAACGATTTGTTGCTTTGGAACGACTAACAACTTCATTTTTTTTACCCGGACCAGATACAAGAAATACACGATTAATAACAGTTAAATTACATAAAATAATAAATATAAAAGGGATTATTGTTACAAGAAACATATCAATCCACGTATAAATGTGTTCAAAAAAGTGTACATAACTTGGATGTAAATAACATCGTTGATATTGGAATGGATTAACAGTAGAGCGTGTAGAATTGAGACCATGTAAACTCTTAGGATGATTATCACCTTGAACAAATATTAATAAATGTATATTAGATAAAGATAAAACAGTGAATACAACGCTTGAATTAATCGATGCTTGTCGTGTCCGGCACCATTTTGATGTATATATTGGGAACTTGACAGCAACATAACGATCTAAATTTAAACAACACCGAAACCAAGATGAGAGATGCAGCGTATTACTAGAAGAACAATTTTAATAATGAGTTATTATTTGTCTTTGTATAGAAAAAAAAAATAATGAACTTACTAGAAGAAAAAAACATGTAGTTTACATAATAATGTACCTTGTATATGAACATGAAGACTTGATGATAAAAGTAATTCACGTAATAATCCAATATATAAAACAATTGTATCGGCAATAGCCATAAATGTTAAATAACGATAAACACTATGTTGTCTCATGTGTATTAAAACAATTATTGATAAAAGATTTCCCACTGTTCCCAGACCAAGTAAAAATGGATAAGTATACAATTCTATTTGACGTGCAATTTCTTCTCGTAGTGAACAATTCATTGCCATTGTTCACTAACAATCATTTAACTAATAGTACACTAGTTGATTGTACTCATTTCTATAGAGAAAAATCAAAGGAACACGCATAAAAAAAACCAACATATTCAGTTTGATTAATGACTGTTGTCAGGTACTTTTCTTAGTTTACAGCATAACGCAAAGAATCTGATCATAAAACGAAAGAAAAAGAAGAAGAAAGACTTCTGCGCTTCAAAAGACATATAGTATATGTAAGCTTGTTCTCTAGACATCATCAAAATATCGAATTGTATTATATAGTTGGTTAGAAGAAAAGAACATAGGCGAACAAAAGTCTAATGTAATTATGAATAACAACTATGGAGTATACAAGATCTATAGAAACAATTAAAATACTAGCAAACTTTCATCTAGTTAAAATGTTATGTTGTTCATTAATTACCAACAATCAATAAGAAGACCTCTAGATGTACAACAAAATGAATTAGTAATAGTAGCTAACTATGGACTTTATGTAAAAAGTTGATGATTGTATATAGAGCAGAAAGACTTAGTTGATTTTTCATATCTGCTTAAAATAGAACAATAAACATTACCATAGCATTAATTGCGAATTTTGTCAAGTAGAATCTTGTTATCAGAAAAAAAATTGCGTGGTCTCAAAAGACAAAAATTAAGAACAAAAAAAGTGTTCTCTCTTATGTAAATACATGTTTTGATCGTAAAAATATTTGAAAAAAGAAAGGAGAAAAAAAAAATTAGAATTTAGAAGGTGCCATTCTTTCTCTCTTGGCATCGAGAATCGGCACACAACAATGTTAAAAAAAGCATAACAGGTGACTACTTGTTCGTCGAATAAGTTTCTCCGAAAGTAAGAAAAAAAGAACAGTATTTACTCACTCTTTTTCTTGACAAATATTTTCCTTGATTCAATAGTGTCTCTGAGTGTAATGAATGTCAAAAAGAAAACACTCACTACATGCATTTTTTAATTCCCTATTTGATCCTTAATAATCACTAAGAAGTTCCTAATACACATCGGACATACTAAAGAGAAAATAAAAGCGGAAAATTACTGTTCAGTGTTGTATATAATGTGTAACATGCCATAGGATTCCCTGATGGACACGACGTTTTCTATGTTATTGTTCACCATCGTCACCATGATTCTCGTACTAGTCTACTGGAGAATATAAGCCTATATTACATCTATATTTTCGTTGTCGTTATTAGTCTTTTTTTGGCTCTCTGTCTCGTTCTCTTTTTCTTCAATGAGAGAATGTTGTTGTTTTGGTTTATGTATTATGTGTATAGAATCTCATCCTTTTGTTTCTGTCATCCAATGGCGCGCCCTTCTTTCATCACCGTCCATCTTATAGTTGTTTTTACTAGCACGACACGGCGCTATATATGCATGTTGACACATCATTGGGATCAAGAAAGAAAGAGAGCAACAGGGAGAGAGAGAGGAAAAGAACGAGAGAGAGAAAGAGGAGGAGGGAGCAAAAGAATCATAATGGGAAAGATTAAAGAAATTCGAGAAAAGGCACAGCCGGTATGTGAAAAGAAGCAGCTGAGTAAAATCAAACTTGTTTAACGAAGATTACTCATGTTCTGGGTCAGGAAAACAATATAATATTTATAATGAGCATAGCAATCAATCTATCTTTCTTCTTTCTTTTTCTATCAATATATAGCAGATGAGTATGAATGCACAAGAGTGTTTCTGAAATGATACATGTAACTATGCAACAATCGGTCTCTATCCGTTGTCATAGTTGTTCGGACATCATTTCTTTTTCTATTCGGACTTTGTGGTTTGCTCGATTGTTTTGTAATCAATTTTTTTTTCTCAGCCAGTATCTTATACACTCACACACACATACACATATGTATTTACACTATTTGTATGATGAATTGTAAAAATATACGGAAGCTTATCTGAAAATATGTACCCCTCTATAAATAATATTTCCCATATTGAATAATGTACAGTCGTAATATGCGCTCACGTTCTAAAAAAGAAAAAAAAATAAGAAAACATCTAGCTACATTTTATGTACGCTAAACGATCACACATTTCACCATTAGTTGTTCGTTACTATTGATTCTTTTCTGATTATATGAGTCCGTTGAGGCGCATTTTTCGGATGTTCAATAGAACGCAATCCTAAAGTGGAATGTCAGTGCGAATTAACGTCAAGCATTTTTTCTCTTCAATTCATATCGAAACAATCATCAGTAAATAATACATGCGAGTATCATCTCTTCATTAAAAAAAAATTAGTGTGAGCAAATTACGTCATTCGAGATAGATGAAACTCAAGAAAAATACTAACTCTATCCATATCACAGTGCTAGATAGATAACACTTTCTCAAATCGAGCTCAAGGTCAGAATTCATCGTTATCATTCTGATTATCAAAGAGCCAATACTGCTATCAGTATAATACGAATGTAAATGAGGTGTACTAACATACGTATACAACGCAATACTAACCGATTTTCCATCCAACAGACGACACATCAATTTACAGAGAGAGAGAGAAGATTCATAAAAGCATATCTTTAAAGGGCACCAAAAATGGCCATAAGGATATAATAAATACAAAAAGAATCATACAGTTCTTGCAAACATCTACCATAACAAACTGATTATTTTTCTATTAGATTATTAGATTTGACATTTTTACGATGAAACTGATGCATTTTGTTCGCCTAATATATCTAATGATAATCATAATATAAATTTTGGAAGATAAAACATCTAAGAAATACCTATAGCAATATGTAAAAAAAGGAGTTAAACTTAACAAACTTATGCACATATATATCTATAGATCAATGTTTTTCTTGTCTATACATTAGTAATACAATAGAATGCACCCAAGAAAAGTAATGAAGGAGACTTTGAATTATATTTTATAGTTATTAATGGTAGATTATATATATATCGGTAAATTTAGTTTGTTATCTCGTGTTGAAAAGACACCGACTAAACGATTGATTAAAACATACATCAAACACATTGCCATGCAATACATAACATACTCATGAGCAAATAACGAGTAGAAAAACGGGAAGGAAATGTGTGTGTGTGTGTGTGTGTGTGTATGTCGGCAACATGACATTTTAGGAACCGTTGTTTGTTTCTTTTAGCACAAGAGAAATACATCAAAAAAAATCTGTCATTCGACAAACAAACGACGACAAGTGGATGTCAACGCTTATTTTTTATACCTTCTAATCTTTGCTTAATTTATACATGATCAATTATAGACAAAATTAGTCGTTTTTTTATTATTATTATTTTTTCTATACAATATGTACAAAACTGGAACAAAACAAAAAGATTTATTTAATTCTTTGTTCGTTTTTGTTTTGTTTTGTTAATCATTTTTGTTTTTTTCTTTGTAATTACTTTAAATATTTGTTTTCGTGTCATTTCAATATGTTTTCTTTCTGAATCTAATTCAAGATCATTAGCTAGACGAATAGCATTAGCAAATTGAGTTTTAGCTGAACGTTGATAACCAGTTATTAAAAGTTTAAGAGCCAAACACATTAAATAACGTGGTCGTAATAATTTAAAATGTTTACTTATATCATACATATGAGTTATAATTAAACGTTCATGAATTTCATTTGGAAGTATTGATATACGAGTTTCAATAAGCCATTTTGTACATTCATATATTTCATATATTGCTAATTTAAGCATACCATTACAAACACGAAATGTCCATTCTTTTAATGACATACCAAATTTAATTGCACGCATATAATGCTATATAAAATAATAAGCACATGTATATTTAATATTTTTTCATTTAATTGAACAAGGCACTATGACATTAAATTAGAAATGCTTCATCTATTATTTAATAAGATTTATATCAAATCAAGAAGAATTTTTTTTTTGTGTTAAGAAGACAAAACACAACTACATTAACAGATTGAAGTATCGAACACTGTTGTTTATTGTTTGACTCAAAATAATTCTCTCTTCCTCTTTTGTTTCTACTAAAAGATTCTCGACTTCCTGTGTGACGCATTGATTTATAGTAACAAAACAAAACAGAAAACGCAAAGTATTGTTTCATGTTCATTTGAAGTGAATACAAAGTGGAAAAAAAAACTATTGTTATGAAAAATACTTCTACTATTTGTTCGATGTGACTAGAATAGTTATGCTAAAAATATACTTTCGAAAAATTCTATTATTAATCATTTATGAATTAAAATTTGATCTCGAAATTAGAACTATACAAAACTATATCGAATCCTTATTTTCTAATTCTTACAATTGATCATAAGAATTATATTTTTCTTAGCCATGTCTGTTCAATAGGTTCGAAAATCTAATAATCTATTTCAACAAATCATTCATTAAGAATCATTTTGCTTAAATACATTAGGTCAAGCATTTCTATTTTAAGTAAAAATAGTCCAAAGAAAAATGTCGATGCGCTCCACAAGAGACTAAACTGTAAAACTTACCAATTGTAACTGTTACAAACTCATGCTATAGTGTCAGAGAAATTAAAATAATTTATTTAAAAAAAACAAATAGTAAATGAATTGAGAAATCAAAATCATAACAATTTTTATTGTTGATATGCATGTTCAAAAATGTTCGCATTTAGATTTACTATTCTACTAATTTATTAGATTCATTTAACATCTTTATACACAAAGAACTTCTTTATATTGTCAGATACATCTTTATTATTACATAACTTCTATTCTTCTAATGATAATATATACGATACATGCTATATGAAGCGGCAAATATCATTTTATTCTTCGCTTCGTCGGTTCAATCACCATATTAGCCTACTGAGCACATTGATTTAATCATTTAGTAAGCTTCAGAGTACATCATCCTTTCTTTCGATAAATTTTGATATATACTGTTGAGTTTAGACTAAACTTAGAATTCAGTTAGTTCATACTTTTCTTTGTTCGTCCTACTAGACTAGGTACTTTATGAAAATTATTGAGTAATTTCATACCTGATTTGCTTTATCCAATTTAACAATTTTTGTATAACATTCGACTAAAGTAGCTTGTGCATAAAAAACCATTGTTAAAAATTTATGAATATCTCCTGGTGTTGATGTTTTCTTTTCTAAATGTTCAAGAACATAATCAATAGCAAGTGCAATTTCATTTAATAAATTTTCATCATATTCGATATTAAGTTCAACAAATGCTTCAAGTGCTAATATAAATGACCATAGACGATTTTCATATTTTAATGGACGATTTGATTCATTATCAATAATATCAATAAGATCACGTATAACTTCTTCTCGTCGACCAATTAATGCTGCCTAAAAATAAAAATAATATATGAAAAGATTAATTTATTTTATTTACTTGTAAACTATAAGTTGCAATTGACATAAGATTTTCATAAGCACCAATTTTATTTAATAAATCTTTTATTTTATATGAATCATTTAAAGCTCGATCAATTTTTCCTCGATATAAATTCCATGTCATTGATAACCAATTTGATTTAATAGCAATTGTTTCATAACCAATATTAATTGGTTCAATATATTTAATAATAGCTTGAACAAATAAATCACAATCTTCCATACGTTTAAGATCATGTGATAATTCAGCAAGTAATGTTAATGATTGACATTGTTCATATGATGTTAATATAAAATGACATTGAATTAATGATAATGTTGCATTTAATACACAAAAATAAGCAAATAATAATTGTCCATGACGTCGAGCACATTGTCCAGCACGAAATAATAATTTACCTGTAAAATATCTTTGAATAATTTCATCATCAGATAATTTTTTATTTATTGTTGATCGTATAAGTGTTCGTATAAGTGTATGACGTAATTGTTTACATTGACTTTTTAATTTTAATGAATCACGAGAACGAAAATCAATTAATTGAACATTTAAAATTTTTAAACCATAAACAACATATAAAAAAGCTTCATCATTTTTACGCATTCGATAAACAGATTCTAAAAAAAAACAAAAAAAAAGAGAGAATTTTATCAAAAGAAGAAGAAAAAAAACAAACCTGATAATAAATCATAAATTTGTGGTTCAAAAAAAGATGGTAAATTTAAATAATGCCGTTCTTTTTCTAATCGTTCAAGAATATTTTGTAAAATTATTTTTGATTCATAATAATTTGTTCGTGTTAATTCAACACGTGCTAATTCTAATGAATAATAAAGAACTTTTTCAATATTTGATGATTGTTCCCATAATTTAATTAATAAACGATAGATTTCCACAAGTAAATAATTACAACGACAATTACGTTGATTATATCTTAAATAAGAATAGATATTTATTTTTTCTTTTAAATGATTTTATTTTTTACTCAATTTCAGTTGTTTGATGAATTTTTTGTGGAGTCTTATTTGAAAATAATTGTGTATTTATTATATTTGTATTATTGATTGTTTCAATTTGTGTTTCAGTATTATTTAAAATAAATTCATCATGATGTATTGGATGAAATCGTTGTCTTATGTTTAAATCAGGAGCAAAATCAAGAAATTCAAAACGATGATCAATGCCTTCTTTTAATAAAAATAATGGACATGTTTCAGTAAAATTCATGTATAAACGTTCATTGATAGATAAGATTTCTTCACTAATGAACAATTTTTTTGAAGATTTTTCATTACTTTCATGATCATGAGATGTTATAGATCCATCGGTGTGACGCGATAAATGTAAATTTTTTATAAGATGTTCAGCTTCTGATCATATTTTAGAAATAAAACGAAAACGAAATTCATCAGAAATAAAATAGTTCGAATAAATAATCATTAAAATAATTTTTATTTCAACATTTTTGGATTGATGTATGCCTAATCAATTTGGCATTAATTTTTACCCTACCATATATAATTGATTTTTGAGTGAAAGTGAAGTTCAGTCTATGATCGTTTTTTCGCTCAAAAGATAAGTTTATGATGTTGCTGAATTCCTTGCTTTATTAGTACACTGTTTGTTTAGAAATATTAAAGTGTTGTTATGTCTCATCAAAAATCGATTCTGAACATTTTCATGTTTAAATAAATGAAGTAAAGCATTGTTTTTTTTTCATAACTGTGAAACGCTTTTTACTAGCAAAAACTCACCAGACATAATATCTTTTGTAAACAATCGTTTATTTTTTCCATTAGGTGAATGTCGTAAACTATTTCGATTGACATCATTAGGTGATCGAGATTGTTTATTAGATAGATGTACTTTTTCATCAATAGTTTCTTTTCTTTGATTTATTAAATAATGATCATCAATTGCATTATTCATTAAAGGAATTTCTATTGTTTCTATAAGAAATTTTTATTCAATGAAATAGCATTTTTTTTTACCTGAATGAGAAAAATGTTTTGGGAATAAATCATAATTAGAAGATGAATTTTTTATATGAATATATTTAGTTTGATTTGAGGAATAATGATTTGTATAACCTTGCAAAGCAATTTTATTGACATCATGAACAATATGAGATGAATTTAGTTTTAGTTCACATCTGAATAATTGATATATCATTTTAAAAAATTCTCATAATATGTTTACTTTAAATCTTCTATTGTTGGATCCAATCCATAAATAGTGATTAAATGATTTGATATTCGCTTTTTATTTTCATCTATTATACTCAATGAAGAACAAGTAGATTCTTCAATGTTAGGTATTATTAATGAAATATTTTTCTCAGATTTTTTATTTTCAAATGCTTGCATCCATTGACAGTTGAGAATTTGTTCAATAGTAATTTTAGAAACTTGTTCAATGGTTACATGATTATTATTTTGATAAAAATTTTGTAATTGTTGACAAAGTTTAATACGATTTAAAGACTTTTTTCGTCGAAATTTAAATAAGCGTCTTGTAAATAATCTAAATCGATTTTTTATTTGTTTATTAATATCTATATTTGATTCATAATAATGATTATTTTTCGAAGATATTTTCTGAAATTCTTTTGGTAAATTATTTCTTTTATCATTCATTGACACACTTTGTGTTGTTTCAGTACTTGATTGCGTTTGATAGATTGGTCTTATTGGACTATCAGCATGACTAAGACTCTTTTCGTGTAAATGAAAAGGAATCTTTGCATATGTTTCACCTTCTATTGTATCTTTACGCCCTCCGATAGCTATTTATTTAAATGAAAAAGAAAAACACAATAAGGAAATTTAGTTGACAATTGATTTAAAAACGATGTGCATGGTAAAAATTATTGTAACAATAATATATTACTTGAACTGAAAGATTAATATTATTCCATGAGTAGCAGAGCTACAAAGGTTTTGTAAGAAGACTTGAGCAGCGTATTGAAATTCTTGTGCAAATGCTATTCATTTTCACCTCTTTCGGAGCTAATAATAATATTCTTTTAGTCAAACAGATGTAGAATGAGTTTTATCAAATATTGGCACAACAATTTGAAGCTGAAATTCTGTACTGCAAGTGAAGAAGAACTGTTTCGAAAATCTTAGTCAAATCCTAATGGCATCACACCGATTGAGAACTTGAAGAAAACAATCTCAATAAAAAATAAACAACTGAAGTTTGCATGAGTTATTTCAAGAACTTTAGAACATTCCTTAGCAGAATAGGCTGAAATCATAAGATTTGCATGGCAAGTTTCATAAGGTTTTTTGCAGAAACGTTCTATTTCGAATTCAATAAAAATTTTAATAAATCATTCAATTACCCATTGGACTAAATGACGATGATGGTTTAGTATTTTTTGTAAGATGATCAACATGTTTTATTTTATTACGTAGTTGTTGAAAATATTTTCTTTTTTCATTAAATTCTTGTTGATAAAAGTTTTGATAAAAATTTTGAATTAAATTATTTTCTTTTCTATTATCATTATTAAATAAAGAATTTTTTCTTAATTCAATTAAAGATAATTGATCATCATCAGTTTGTATATCTTCATCATTTAATGTACTATGGGTTTGTTGCATTGAAAAATGATTTAAAATCATATATTGTAAACGTTGATTTAATTGTTTTAATTTTCTTTCATGAAATGTATCTAATACAGACATACCTAATTTCATACTTTGTACAGGTGTTAAAAAAATTAATGAATCTGAATCACCACCGCATGATTTACATAAATGTTTTTTTGATTCAATAAATAAAGCCATTTTTGATGAATAATCATGTTGAAATTGATCAATTATTGTTGCAAGTGTTGCTTCTTTTAATGTTGGATCTTTAAAAGTATACATACGACAATTTTCTATTTGTTTTGTTGTATTTTCTGGACAACAACATATAGGTGTCATACTTTGAAATGAGTGATGAATAAAAAAAAACAAAGCAAAGTTTTTTTTTGGAAAATTTGTACTTTTTTTCTTGTAATAGTCTGGCAATATTAGAATTTTTTCTTGCTTCAAAATCAAGCCAAGCACATTCGAATATTTGTGCACGATATAATTGAGAAAACGCACTGTTAATCTTTAAGTAAAAAACAAAAAGAATTTTAGGGAAGGGATTTATTGATATGAATTTATCTGAAAAAAAATCGACTCATGTTACTACAAAGGTATGTCGACAGTACTCTATACTGTAAGGTAGCTGAGAGACAGGGGTATTCTTCTATCCTTCCTTCCTTCAATATTAAATCTTTACTTCCGGAAAAATTTTAACAATTTTTATCTAATTATTCTTTACTTTCAATAGGTCAGCATTGAATCCAACTATATGATTTTTATTATTATTTAAATGGTGTTGATGTATATTTAACATTTCATTTGTGTGAATATCATAATTTGTTATTGCATGAACAATAATTCTAAGTATTAAAAACGAGAGAATATTTTTTCTTTTGTTTCCCTCTAAAAAAAATCCAGTAATAAAACTAAATAAAATACCTTTTTGAAATATTTTTTGTAAATAATGAACTTATTTTTGCAATACGTTTTTCAATATCTCGTAATTTATCAATTTTAACATGAGCGTTTATATTTTCAATAACAGTTGTGTATGTCCAAAATTTATTTCTATCTGGATCACATATTCGACATATTTGCGGTTCAACATATTCAAATAAAATTTTAAGATTTCCTGTTGCTGGATCATGTTTTACAACACGTTTCCATAAATATTTTTGTATACCTTCAATATATCCATCATTTAAATCATCATCATTATTAATTGTTTCAATTCTTATTATTTGATTTGATAATAAATCTGATAATAATTGAATAACATTTTGTGGATGACCTCTTTTATATTGAAAAAGTTTTAAAAAAATTAATAATAATAAACAATGAATACATACTTGTCTGATTTTCGTGTAATTAATATTTCAAGATCTTTTGGAATACGTTGTACAAACATAGCTTGACATGCAAGTGTAGATAAATAACGATTATCAAGACCTATGAAGTTAAAAAACAAAAGAAAAACTTATTAATCTATTTTTTTTAAATAATATCAATCGAAACCCATAAGTTGAATATGTTTTGTTGTTGGTGAATCTCGAAGTGTAACCATACGTGTATGAAGTTCATCATCACTTAATGTTGGATCTCTCATTGCCATTACAAGAAGAGAAGTTGGTGCTGAACCTATTGAGAATGTTTTTATTTTCTTTAGAAAGGAATGAAAAAAAAAGGAAACGATTTAAAACCAAGAAGATTAAGATATTGCCAAGATTCTTTATCAATATATTGAGCATCATCAATAATAAAAACTGTTGGTTGTGGTTGATAATTAAATATTTCATAAGTTGGATCTGTTGCATTAATAATAAGTTCACGAATAATTTCTTCAAGCATTTTTCTTTTTAAAATTCCTGTTAATTTATCACTATCAACACTAAGTTTATCAAAAAATGGTCGTAATAAATATAAATATTTTTCATGATCTACAATATCATCAATCAAATTTAAACTGTTATTTCTAATAAAAAAAAAAAAAAAAGGTTAACACTAACTTGGCAAAAGTGATTTTAATACTTTTACAAGTGTATCAGATTCTTGTAATTCTGTATATAATAATGTTTTAAATAATTGTTTAAGTGTATAACCAAATAATTGTACATGTTCAAAACTAGCATTATATGAAACTCGACGTATATTTTGTATATCATACATTAATTCTTCATTAATATGTGCAAGTAGTCGTGAACGACCAACACCTGTTGAACCAGTTAAAAATATACAATGTATTGTTGTGCAAGAATGTTTAATAACTTCTTCAATATATTCCAATATTATATTCCATTCATCTTCACGATTTATTATTGGAAATACAAATACACTTGTATTATTTTGATCTAGAATAATAATTAAAATAAAAATAAAGAAAGATTATCAAAGAAAAATAAATAAATAAAATACCATCATCTTGTCCTTTATATCGGCGCATACTTGTAGAAACAGTAAGACCTTTTAATGGTACGGTAGGTAACAGTTCAAAATAACGTTCTTCAAGATGAGCTTTATGATAAGTTTCATCATCACATGAAACTATACCAGGATAATTAACCATTAAACGAGCAGCCTAAATCAATTCATTATTATATCAAATAAAATATAACATAGTCAAACTAACCATATTAACTTTTCTACCAATGACTGTATATTCACATCGAAGTGGATGTCCTAGCACACCCTAAAATAATTTATGTTTTTTTAAAGTTTTTCTACAATGAATGTTAGAAGTTTTATAATGTGACATTTTTTTTTAAGGAGATTTTATTTGTATCTTCAAACATATTAGTCGTATATAGAGATGCACACAATCAGTTTTAGACTTGGTCTTAGTTCCAGTTCCAGTGACGAGGACCAGAACTAAAGACTTTATTTAAAATTTCTAGTTTTTCTTTCAATCGGAGTCGATACTAAAAACTTTGATCCTGCATGTTTCCATTTGTATAGTATATATTAAAGAAAGGAATTTTAATTCTAAACACTTTTTACTGTCATCAATTCGAAATACTTGACATTTCAAAGATTATTTTTTTAAAGAGTTCTGTTTAATCCATCTGTTTAATGACTAGAAGACGTCCTTCTCTTTGAAATCTCATTTTATAGTGATCTAAATAACCATTAAGTTGATCAAGTCCCAACAAATAGTTTTACATTTATCAGATTATTATCTATGTTCGAATAAAACAAAAACAAATTTAAATCAAAGACAAACTTTTATTAGACAGGAATATTTTTACAATAGGCAATCTCTCTTTAAAAGATTGAAATATTTAAATGGAAAAAAATTGATAGATCACTTGATTCCCTATCAGTCTTTTTTTCTAATTCAAGATGTGTTCTATACATTTCAAAGATCATTTAAGTACATACACAAAATGTTTGTCCAGTAGAAACTCCAGTACTAACTCGTGCCACAAAATTTAATTTTTCTAAATGATAAAATTTTTCTTCTTTCATATTATTATTCCATTCAGGTATTACCCAATCTTTGAGTTATAAGAAAACCAAATTTTAACGCTCGTTCAGCATCTATAAATCAAATATATATGTGTTTTTTTTTGCTTGACTAATGGCCTTTTTTTTAAATAAAAAACGAACCATCTGGATGTTTATATCCAGGCATTCCAAAAGCACATAAAAGACTAAGACCTTTATCAAACATGAAAATTTTCGTTAATAAACCATTTGTAATTGAAATTTGTTCAGCACAACAATCAATAACAGTTTGTAATTTAAATGGTAAGTGTTTAATTTTATAATCAGTTAAAATAATATTAATAAAACAAATATTAATTAGACGAAGTTCAGATAATTGATCAAGAGATTCTTGATTCCGTACAGGCTTTATAATAAATGTACTTAAATCGAATGTATCATATTCTTCAAAATTTAAAAAAGCACTTGGACGAAGCTTCATTGATTCTTTTTCAGTTAAATCAACTCTTCTAATCTATATTATTCGAGTATAATGAAATACAAAACAACAATATTCAATTTCTATGTTTTGGTCTTACTGAATGTCTGTGTTTTCTACTTGGCGTTGGTGAAGCGGACAAAAAATCTTTTATATCTGTATCACCTACATCTAATAATGATGTTTTTGGTGTATTCTTTATATTAAAAAAAATTCGTTTAGGGCTATATTGATTGAATATTTTAGGTTTTTTTAACATTTCATTACTATCGTTTGGTTCAATGGAATCTGCTGACATAATTGAATAACTATCAGATAAATCATTATCTTTTGGAATATCATTTCGACGACCATGAAGTCGAATATCTTTAAAATTTAATTGTTTGTTAGAGATTAGTTTTTCTTTGTTGAAATATTCTTACAATGAGAAACTATTTTTCGTATCTGAACAATTTCACGATTTTTATTGGGTGGTGTAAGACGTTTACTAATGGTTGTTGTAATTGTATTTGATGGACCTTGACCGATCATTTCACTTTGATGATTTGAAGAACGTGATAGAATTTCAATATCTTCATCATCATGTTCAGCAGTAAATTTTTCATGAATATATTCCTGCAATCGATTGTTATTTTTGCAATTCAAAATACATGTAATTATCAAATACATTCTGATTTACAAAATCAGACTATTTTAGGAAAATAGATTTATAGTACGGGTTAAAAATATAAAACCAACGTATTTCGGATTATCATTCTACGATTGAAAAGCCAATGAAGTTCTCTATCAGATTTATTGCATAGCAAAATAAGGGGTCAAGACTATTGTTATGACCGTCATTGATAAAAGTGGCGTCGACAGGAGACATTGGAAAATAGGATGATACACCATGGTCCTGAGGAAAATTCATGCATCAGAACGTCAATGATTGTAGTGAAATTCAACAAATAATGAAATTTTGTTTTTTCTTACTGAATCTGAATCAAGAAGTAACCATGTAGCCATATCCACAATAATATCTTGTGACTTACATTCATCTAAATAAACAAATAAATACTTATAATAATTAAGTCAATGAAAATAATATTACGTTCAGCATTTCTAGCACTAACCACAGCACTACCATAACAAACATAATAATTAACAAGATTAGTTCGACAATGTTCGATCATTTCTTCAGTTAATCCTGTTTTAGTTATATAATTTGTCGATTGATGTTTTCCAGAATTTATTTTTTTTGTAGTTTCAGAATAAGGATTTGTATTTTTTATTGATGATTGTGTTTTTAATCCATATTCATCAAGAAGTTTTGAACAAGTTGAAGTAGTTCCCTGGATACAAATCTTGCAAAAAAATTTAATAACAAGAAAAAGTTAAACTAAAACTTACACGAAGAAATATAATTGAATAAGAACCCATTGCAATCGCACTTTTAATATTTAAAACAGTTCCAATTGGTGTCATATAATCACACAATGATTTTTTCATATATAAAGCACAAGATATCACTCTTTTTGCTTGTTCACGTTTATGTTCAATAGAATTATTTTCAAATGGCCATAAACCTAATTCAAAAAACTTCTTTTAATAGAAATTTTATAGAATATTTATTACCAAGTACAGCATCACCAGCAAATTTATAAACATCTCCTTTTTCTCTTAATATAGCTTCAACAATTGGTGCCATATAACCATTAAGTGCATTAGCTAATTGATTAACTCCACGTTGAACATCACTACTATATTTTTGACACATTTCTGTAAAACCTGATACATCAGCAAAAAGTATGATACCATTAAATGTTTCTGCATATGGCATTTTTCGATCACGTTTACGTTGTAAAATAACATCAGGTAATTGATAAATAAATGAACAAGATTGATTGGATGAACGACATATAAATTGACCATCTATTGATATTCTACTTTCATTATTATGTTTCGTCATCATCAATTTTTAAATATTTTTTCTGCAACAAATAAATTGATTATAAATATTACATACTCAATCGACGCGCTTTATTTTTATTTAAAACTAAAATATAAATTCAGCAAATGAATTGAATAGAATTTCGTTATTTAATTATGTTGAGTTTTTTTTTCTTGTGAGAAGTCAAAGCGATAAAATATGAAATTCTTTTATCGTTAAAAAGTTTTGTCAATATATAATTTGATTAATGTCCATATTAAACAGATGAATATCCCATGTAAAAAAAAAGTAGAAAATTTTCACTTTTAAGTACTTTGCATATTAATAAAGTAAAAAAAAGTCACTTTTCACAACTATTTCCCACCTTTGAAAGTACTTTTACATACTTTTCTACCTTTCGAAAGTACTTTTCCATACTTTTTCACTTTTGAAAGTACTTTTACATACTTTTCTACTTTTAAAAGTACTTAATAGTACTTTTTTTAACAAAAAGTATTTAAAGTAACTTTTGACACTTTAAAATGTACTTTAATATATTTTTCCACTTTTGAAAGTACTTAACAGTACTTTGTCCTGACAAAAAGTATTGAGAATAACTTTTGATACTTTTAAAAATACTTATTAGTACTTCCGTTTGTATAAAGAATACAAAGTACTTTTCCGTATTAAATGAAGTACTTAATGATACTTTTGTGTCACACAAAGTGTTGGAACTACTTTTCGACATAATTTACAGTAATTAATAGTACTTCTTTATGACGCAATTTTTTAAAGTACTTTTGAATACTTATTGAAGTAGCTCAAACTACTTTCTTATTTGATAACGTGTTGAAAGTAATTGTTGATACGTTTTGAAGAACTTCATAGTACATGCTTATGACACTCGGGTTAACCCATGTAAAAAAAAAGTAGGAAATTTTCATTTTAAGTACTTTCAATATAAAATAAAGTGAAAAAAAGTCACTTTTTGCTACTATTTGCTACTTTCAAAAGTACTTTTCCACACTTTTCCACTTTTGAATGTACTTAACAGTACTTTTTTGTAACAAAAAGTATTGAAATTCCCTTTTCACACTTTTGGAAGTACTTTGTAGTAATTACTCTGAAAATAAAGTATTGAAAGTACTTTGAGACACTATTTCATGTACTTAATACTAATTTTATAGAAAATAAAGTATAAAAAGTACTTTTCGATATCATGAAAAGTACTTAACAGTATTTTCCTGCCATGCTAAGTATTGGAAATACTTTACAGTACTATTGGAGGTACTTTATAGTACTTTTCTACAACCCAAATTTTCGAAGTACTGGTAAATATTAATCAAAGTGATTCATAGTACTTTCTTATTAGATACAGTATTGAAAGTAATTGTGGATACTTGTTGAAGAGCTTAATAGCACCTGTTTAAAACACGAATCAAGCCTTTAGACTGTAAGTTTGCATCATTGATTGTGCATGCTCTTGCAGTACCAGACGAATATTGTACGAGAAATTTTTGTCTCTGCAACATTTACCTTAATGCTCGATGTACAATTCTTGCCAGATCGTACGCATCATTAATGCTCCATAGGCGTTGACACAAAATTTACAGGAAAGCAAATTAACTTTTTTGAATTTATGCCAACTCTTTTGAGTCATTAGTTAAAATGATCTTGGAAGAATCTGACATGGAGACTTAATCTAATTTAGCACACATCAAAATTACTCGTACGGTTTCTATCAGATGTTACAAAATCATAAAAAATCAGACTTCAGATCCTAAGACTTTATTGCCTCGTTACTTGGTCTAGGAGAAAGTGTTAAATGCATCTTTTGATAATCTGAAGTGTTTAACAAAACTTTCCTGTCAATCAACATGTTGAAAGTACCTGCTGATACTTCTTTTCATTCCTCAATTGTACTTATTCTGTATAACATAAAGTGTTAGAAGTACTTTATATTACTATCGCTGCATAAAAAGTATTTTATGTACTTTTCAACACTATTTGAAAATAATTAATATTACTTTCCAGTTTGCTTAAGAATTCTGAATAATTTTTGATACTTGTTCAATTAATTAATAGTACTTTTTTATGACATAAAGTGTTCGAAGTAATTTTGGATAGATCTTGAAGTACTTTATATTACTTTCCCGTCATACAAAATATTGTATGTACGTTTCGACACTATTCGAAGTATTTAATAGAACTCTCTTTAAGAACAAGTATTGAAAACAGTGTTAGATACTATTTGAAGCACTTAATAGTACCCTTTATTATGCTATAAAGTATTAGAAAGTACTTTAAAATTCTTTTTAATGCAGTTAAAAATAGTTTCTATAACGTAATGGATTAAAATCGGTGTTGGCTAACATTTGAGGTCAGAAATAGTGCCTTATGTGCTCAGTAATGTTAGGTGTGGCTGTTATTTGACATGAAAAAAAGTAGGAAACTTCCACTTTAAAGTACTTTCAATATCAATAAAGGGGGAAAAGTTACTTTTTGCTACTACTTGCCACTTTCAAAAGTACTTTTCCACTTTTGAATGTACTTAATAGTACTCTTTTGTAACAGAAAGTATTGAAATTCACTTCTCACACTTTTGGAAGTACTTTGTAGTAATTACTCTGAAAATAAAGTATTGAGAGTACTTTTAGACACTATTTCCAGTACATAATAGTACTTTCAATATACAAAATTATCAGAAAATTATCTTTTTACCTTCCAAAGTACTTGACATTACTTTTCCTACTTTAAATAGTACTTTTTCATACTTTGATTACCACAAAAAACTACTTAATAGTACTTTCCCACGACAATGATTCGAAGAAGTAGTTTTGATAGTAGGGAAAGCCCGGTAAAGTACTTTTTAAAGTAAAAATATTTTATATTTGACACCTGGGGGTGCACCGGCCACTTTTTCGCATTTCTGTGTTTGTCCTATGCGATACATCTTAGAAACTCAAGCACTTAATTTTCTGATAAGAAGTGACCTCTTATCGTATTAATTTTGACAAATACTCATCAGAATTTCAGAGCAAGGCAGAGACTCAGATCAGTCAGGTTATAAAGACTTCTAGCGGAGACCTGTGTTCTAATACTGATGGATGTATTTCGTTTGATTTTGCTTCGGTAATAGTAGAAACCGATCATCACCATTGATTTCGTACTTCTAAATGGACAATATTAATAATAACTAAGAATACAATGATAGAGACCGTTTATCGGGTTCAACCGATAACCATACCCACAGTCACCGGTCTAAGTATGATAACTGTATCTACCGTTAGTAGTCAAAGTATGAGTATCGCAGATACGATTGGTAGCCTCATTGCGACGATCGCGCTTATAGTTTCTGGTTCAATTACAATCACCTTAGGCTTAGTTTTCAGATCAAATCGGCTGTCATGAAAAAACAGCAATTTTAAGAGAACAATGATTTTACAAAAGTTGACGGAGTAAGCCCAGACTGGACAATTAAAATTCGAAGTTAGGTTGAATATTTTGAAGTGAAGTTCTTAGATTAAGGGAATGCTCGTTATGAAAATAACTATGTCCTTGAAAAACTGACGAAATGAAGTGTAACTTGAGACACTCAACTCTAGTACTTAGGAAAATTATAACATTCAGCAAGAAATTTTTTCATTAATAATTAAAGTGCAGAACTACGACAAATTGATATCAGATTTGGGTCCCTGAAAACCAATTTATTTTTGCCATTCTATATTAAATATCAGTATGTTCTTAATAATCCTTCCAGAAGCGTAAAAACTCAAGTTGAACATTCTCGAAGTTTTACCTTAGTTCCTGATTTTCCGACTTTGATCATCTTTCGTCAGCAGGTATAGGAAACGTTAGTACTTCAGAAACTACTAGGTTATAAAGAGGTGGCGTAGAATTGATAACTGTACTTATGGTTGTTGCAATTGGTCCAAGAACCAGAGGTACAGTTTTCTTAGTTACACCAGTAACCTAGCCATGGTTAAGACAGTGAAACCATAGTCATACCTGTGGTTATCGTCATTGTTGCATCAACAATAATGATGACGACAGGCGAAGCTGTGCTGTTTACTAAACGGCGCTGTGACACATCAAGGATTTTTTCATACTTGAGTATCTTGATTTGACTAATAAAAGGGTTAGTGGAACTATAAAAATTTATGCTAGTTTCCGATGTATCAGCATCAGTGATTGATGCAAGCATGCAAGTGTCTGAATAATGGTCAAACTCGACCATCTCAGTATGTTTATAATATTTTACCTTCTTATATTTGCCTTAGTCTTCAAGATTAAAACCATATTCTTAATTTGAGAGTATGATCGTATATGAAACACTATAGCCCATGAACATAATTAGGAGATTAACGACTTTACCGGTGTAAAAGCGGAAAATCTACAGTAATGGCTGCTAGACGGGTATCACCGGTCATCTTGAGCATCAAATAGTCCGCAAAATTCTATGAACCGGCTATAGTGGTAGGTTCCTACGCTCTAAATACTATTGTTAGCTTTCATATTCCTCATTAAAACTGTATAGCCGAGTGCACGACAAGAGTGATAATGACAAATCTTTTCCCCAGCATATGACTTTAAAGTTAAAAATAGGAGCCATAGGATCACGAAAAACTATGGCGATAAAACCTAAATAGGCACTGCTAGTTACTCTGAACCTCAATGAATCTGTAACCTGCTGCAAACCACCTATCATCGTAGGTCTCCATCCTCTTAACCACCATTATTAGACTACATAGTGATGCTTTAAAATGTATAATTTAGATCTGTTCACCAGAATATGAAAATTTTCTTCTTGGATGAATATGATGATCATGTCGATTCTGAGACTTAAAGAATCAAGAAAACTCACGACAATGACTATTAAAAGCGCACTACTGGTTACCCAGAACTTCTATTAGTCGGTAGAATGTAATAAACCGGTAATCACCGTAGGTATTTGACACTCTAACAGGCATTGCTGACGTTAAAAATGTTTGCTAATACAACATACCAAAGTTTTTTGTATTAGCATATTTCATATTCCGATA